TCATTATTTTCTTTGATATGCTTGACTTTTTACTTTTCCAAATGAATTTTGTTATTATTTTTTTCTAATTCAGTAAAAATTTTGGTTAATTTAATTGGGATGGCATTGAATATATAAATTAGTTTGGGTAAAATTTTATTATATTGGCCCTGCCTACCCGTGAACAAATAATATTTCTATAATTATTTAAATCTGATTTTTATTTATATAAGAAGTTTTTTATATAATTTTGTTTATATAGTTTCTGGTTTTGTTTTGGCAAGTATACTCACAGGCATTTTATACTGCCAGAGATATTTTAAATGGGGCACTTTTTACTATCTCTTCTTGCAGAGTTTTGTTTGTGACACATAGGAATGTTGATAATCCATGTGGATTTACTTTATATCCTGCTACTTTGCTAAAAATTATTATTTCAACTAACTTTTTACTTGAGTCTTTGGGATTTTTCAAGTATGCCATTATATACTCTGCAAAAAGAGATAGTTTTATTATTACCTCATTCCCTATTCTGATTCCTTCTACTTCTTTTTCTTCTCTTATTGCTATTGTTAGAATTTCCAATACAACACTGAATAATATTGGTGACAGTGGGCATTCTTGTTTCATACCTCATCTTACTGGGAAAGGCTTCTAGTTTATCTCCATTACAAATAATGCTTGCTGATGGTTTTAGATAAATGTGTTTTATCAATTTAAGGAAAAACCCATTTCTACCAATACTTTCAAGTGTTTGTAATAAAAATGAGTGTTGAACTTTATCAACAACTTTTTCTGCATCTATTAATATAATCATGTTTTTTAAACTTTTATTATTGATATAATAAATTATGTTAATAGTTTTCCTTATGTTAAACCATCCCTGCATTCCTGGTGTAAATCCCATTTGATTATAATGTATAATCTTTGTGATATATTGTTGTAATCTTTTGAAGTATTTTATTTAGAATTTTTGCATCCATATTCATTAATGAAATTGTTCTATAATTTTCTTTTTCTGTTTTTACTCTTCCTGGTTTAGGTATCAGTATTATATTTCTTTCATAAAAGGAATTTGGTAGGATCCCTTTTTTACCTATTATTCCAAATAATTTAATATTGGATTTAGTTGATATTTACATTTTTAATTGCCTCTTGTAAACAACATACTGTTGAATTTTGATTTCTAATCTGTTCTGCTATTTCCTTCGATTTTATGGGTAAGCTCATCCCATTCACATTCACAGTTATGATTACTGTGTATTTCTTTCCATCCCATTTTCTTTTGTTCCTTTCTCTCTCTCTTTTTATCCTGTCTCTCCTAAAAAGTCTATTTTGCTTCTAACCACTGCTTCCATTAATCCACTTACCCTTTTAATACCCCCCATTACCCTTCCCCTCCTATTCTGCTATTTAAATAAGGTATATTTCTATAAACAACTATATGTGTGTATATATATTACATCTATGGAGCTATATTTATGTATACATATATATATACACATACACATATACACATATTCATCCTTCTTTGAACTAATTTTGATGAGTGAGGTTCAAGTGTTGCCTGTCACACCTCACCCCATTTTCCCTTCCACTATAAAAGTTCTTCCTGACCTGTCTGTTTTATGTGAGAAAAGTTTCCCCATTTTACTTCTCCCTCCTCCCAGTGCATCCTTTTTTCTCACACCTTCAGGTTTTTGAGAGATCATTCCAACATAATAAATTCACACTCATACCTCCATCTATGTAAACCCACTTTAACTATCATAATGATGATAAAGTTCTTAGGAGTTACCGGTACCATCTTTTCATAGAGGAAGTTTAACTTTCTTGTGTCCCTTATGATTACTGTTTCATGTTTACCTTTTTCTGCTTCTCTTGAATCTTGTGTTTGAATGTCACATTTTCTATTCAGCTCTGGTCTCTTGGTCTCATTTTCCCTTGAAGGATTACACTCAGTTTTGCTGGGTTTTGACTGTAATCATAGCTTCTTTGCCTTGTGGAAAATATACCAAGCCCTCCAATCCGTCAATGAGAACACCACTAAATCGTGTATGATCCTAAACTGTGGCTTGATAATATTTGAATTGTTTCTTTCTGGCTGCTTAAATTATTTTGCCTTTGACCTGATGCCTCCAGAATAATATTCCTGGGAGTTTTCATTTCAGAATCTTTTTGAGGAAGTGATCAATGGATTCTTTCATATTTCTATTTTACCATCTGGATCTAAGATATCAGGGGCAGTTATTCTTGATAATTTCTTGAAATATGATGTCTAGACTCTTTATGTGATCATGGCTATCAGGTAGTACAATAATTCTTAAATTATCTCTCCTTGATCTATTCTCCAGGTCAGTGATATTTTATTTTCTTCTATTTTTCATTCTCTTGACTTTGTCTTGTTGTTTCTTGATGTCTTGTGGGAATCATTAGCTTTGATCTGCCCAATTCTAATTTTTGAGGAACTTGTTTTTTACTTCAGCTGAAGTATAACAGAGTCTGCTCCAGCCCCTTACTTTTACTCTGTCTGTGTTTCTCAGCTTTAAGTGTGTTTCTTGTAAACAAAGTATTGTAGGATTCTGGTTTTTCATACACACTTCCATTTTATGAGAGAATTCATGCCATTCACATTCATTAACTATGATTACTATGATTACTGTGTATTTCTCTCCATCCTATTTTCCCTCCTATTTGTTTTCTCTTTTATCTCATCCTTTCCCTCCTCACCAGTGTTTTGCTTCTGTCTACTGCCTCCCCAAATCTGCCCTCCCTTCTGTCAGTCCTCTCCCCCTTTACTTAATCTCTTCCCCTGCTACTTCCCTGTAGGGTGAGACAGATCCCTTATAAATCTGAAGTGGAAGTGATGAATAGATTTAAGGAACTATACCTGGTAGATAGAGTGCCTGGAGAACTATGGCAATATTATACAGGAGGCAGGAACAAAAAAATAAATAATTTTTTTTAAAAAGAGCAAGAAAGAAAAATGGCTGTCTGATGAGGCTTTACAAATAGCTGAGGAAAGAAGGAAAGCAACAGGGAAAGAAGAAAGGGAAAGATATGCCCAAATGAAACCAGAATTCCAAATAATATTAAAGAGAGATAAGATTTTCTTAAATGAGCAATGCAAAGAAATAGCGTAAGACAACAGAATAGGAAATACAAGAGACCTCTTCAAGAAAAGTAGAGATATCAAGGGGACATTTCATTGAAAATAGGCATAATAAAAGACAACAATGGTAAGGATTTAACAGATGCAAAAGAGATTAAGAAGAGGTGGCAAGAATATACAGAAGAGCTATGCAAGAAAGATCTTAACATTACTGATAATCACAATGGTGTGGTTACTGATCTAGAGCCAGATATCCTGGAGAACAAAGTCAAATGGCCCTTAGGAAGCATTGCTGACAATAAGGCTAGTGAAGGTGATGGAATGACAGCTGAGCTATTTAAAATCCTAAAAGATGATGCTGTTAAAGTGCTGCACTCAATATGCCAGCAAATTTGAAAACTCAACAGTGGCCCCTGGATTGGAAAAGATCAGTTTATGTCCCAATCCTAAAGAAGGGCAATGCCCAAGGATGTTCAAATTACCAAAAAATTTACAATCATTTCACACATCAGCTTAAGATTCTATAAGCTAGGCTTCAGCAATATGTAAACTGAGAATTACAGAAGTACAGGTAAGTTTTCAAAGAGGCAGAGGAACTAGAGACCAAACTGGCAACATTCATTGGATTATGGAGAAAGCAAGAGAGTTTCAGGAAAAAAAAAAAACATCTACTTCTGCTTCTTTGACTACACTAAAGCCTTTGACTGTGTGGATCACAACAAAATATGGCAAGTCCTCGAACAGATGAGAGTACCAGAACAACTTACTTGTCTCCTGAGGAATCTGTATGCAGGCCAAGAATCAATAGTTAGAACCAACCATGGAACAATCAATTGGTTTAAGATTGTGAAAGGAGTATGACAAGACTGCATACGGTCACCTTATTTATTTAACTGACATGAGTTCGTACATTGTGCAAAATGCCAGGCTGGAAAAATCCGAAGTTGGAACTAAGAGTGCTGGGAGAAATATTAATAATCTCAGATATGCAGATGATACCACTCTGCCAGCAGAAAGTGAAGAAGAATTAAGAAGCCTTTTGATGACAGTGAAAGAAGAGAGTGTAAAAACTGGCTTAAAGTTTAGCATCCAAAAAACGAAGTTCATGGCAACTGATCTCCTCACTTCCTGGCAAACAGAGGGAAAAGAAATGGAAGCAAGTCTGATTTTAAATTCTTGGGCTCAAAGATCACTGCAGACAATGCCTGCAGCCATGAAATTAAAGGATACTTGCTCCTAGGAAAGAAAGCTATAACAAATCTTGCCAGCATACTAAAAATTAGAGATCTTGCTGACAAAGGTCCATATGATCAAAGCTATGGTTTTTCCAGCAGTAATGTATGGCTATGAGAGTTGGATTATATGGAAGGCTGAGTACCACACAATCAATGCTTTCAAACTGTAGTCCTGGAGAAGACTTTTGAGAATCCTTTGTATGAGACGGAGATTAAATCAGTCAATATTTTAAAAAATTAATTTAGACTACTCACTGGAAAGACAAATACTGAAGCTAAAGTTTAAATACTTGGCCCATATAATGAGAAGACAGGACTTCTTGGAAAAGACCCCAATGTTGGGAAAGATTGAAGGCAAAAGGAGAAGGGGATGGCAAAGGATGAAATGGATAGAGGATAGGATGTCATGGAAGCAACAAATATGAGACTGAACAGACTTCAGGAGATAGTGGAGAAGAGAAGGGACTGGTGTGCTATAGTCTATGAAAGTCTGACACTACTAAACAAATGAACAATAACAAATGCCTGAATCAGTAATTTAACCAAAAGTATAAGTTAGATCAGTATATAAACTCTCAATATTCACTAAGGTTACCTTATTAGCTTGTACACAATTAACTTTTCTGCATTATATATTAAATAAATCTATACATAATCTTCTGCAAAATACTTACAAACAATGGTTTATAGAATGCTGGACCCAGTGTTTTATCAACCACAGGGGGACTTTGTTTTAATACAGAGCCATCGTTTTGTATATAATAACCATGTGACTGTCCAGGGGAAGGAATGGAAGGTGTATCCACATTTCTGAAGACTTCAAATCTTTTTGGAGTTTTCTGCAAAAATGATATTACAATTAAAAAATCTTTGAGCATGTGAATAAATAAAATAAATGGCAGACAATATGGGGGATGAAGAACAAAAATCTACTGGAAGACCAAGAATTAACTTCAGAATTCAAAATTCATCATGAAAGAAGGATAAGATAACTGACGATAATGACCCCACTACCGCCTCAACTTTCCTTCAGTATTCTAAAATGTATTTTCTTCTGTACACTTCGCACTCATTCAAACTCCACTACTTCAAATATAAACTGTGATATTTTTATTTACAAGGGTTCACAAACTATCAGGTTCGGATGAGATCTCAGCAGTTATCAAGGCCAACTACTCCCTCTACAACATACCCAACGAGTGGTTTAGCTCCACCTGAAGTTCTCTAAGGACAAAAATTACATGACTTCTAGAAATGGCTCATTCTCTTTTTTGAAAACTCAAATTGTTCAGAAATTGTTTCCTTATATTAAGCCAAAATCCATTTCCCTCTGTAATTCTCACTCATTATTCTTAAGAATGGTCTCTAGAGGGGGCAGCTACGTGGTGCAGAGGATAGAGCACTGGCCCTGGATTCAGGAGGACCCGAGTTCAAATCCAGCCTCAGATAGATAACACTTACTAGCTGTGTGACCCTGGGCAAGTCACTTAATCCCACAGCCTAGCCAAAAATAAAATAACATAAAATAAAATATTTAAAAAAGAATGGTCTCTAGAGACAAGAAGAATGATCTTCCATGTGATGGCCCTTCAAATACTTGAAGATAGTCATCAGTTTCTTCTCTAAGTATTCTCTTCTCCTAGTTAAATATCCTCAGTTCCTTCAAATAGTTTTTATATAGCAAAGTCCAAACATTCCACCAGTCCTGAATTCATTTAACTACACCACCACAGAAGCCATATTTTTCCATCTTCTCCATATATAAAATGTGAATGACTTATAAAATAACTTTCTGAAATCTGGGTATTTTATGTCTATGGTATCCTCCTCAACTACTAATCTGAAACCCAGTCAAGAAAAGAAATTAGAATAGTCTGGCATGATTAATTATTGAAGTAACCATACTGACTCTCAGTTTCATCATTTCATTTTCTAAATTTTCAAAAACAAAATATTCTAATAATGCCTTCTAGAATTTTTCCAGGAATCAAAATAAAAATCACAGTTCTATGACTTGAAGACAACCACTCTTGTTCGTTTGTTTGTTTTTCGATCAGGACATGGGTCCATCTTCAGGCCCCTAACACTTCTCTCATTCTTCATGAGTTTTCAAAAACCACTGACAAAAACTTAGTAATCACATTCCGCTTCTTCCAGTACCCTGAGATGAAGTTCATCTGTGTCTATGACTTAATATCATAGAATTTAGAGCTGGAAGAGACTTAAGAGATCCTCTAGACAGAAATCCCTCACCTTACAGATAACTAAACTACAGTTCAGGAAAGTTAAATGATTTACCCAAAGCCAATACCAGTAGTATGTAACAGAGCTGGCACTCCAACCAAGATCCTCTAACTCTAAATCCAAGGAACTTTCAGTACAGCATGTTGCTTCTTAGGGTACTCAGGTGCTCCCCTATGCATCCTTAGTTATATCATATTTAATTCTCCATTAACTATTTTGTTCTGTCTTCGTGTGTTATCCTGATGAATGAACTAATCAAAGCTTAGGCTATAATCACAAGGTACTGGAAATGACTACAGGAGAGAGACTTAAAGGCTAGAAACATTCACTGAAGGATATACAGGATTAAGCAGAATTCAGCAGGTATGCAACCAATTTACATTAGCCTTGAAGTGACAGCCCTTATTCAGCATAGAAAGACCTGAGCTTTGCCTTCCTGGACAATGTAATATGCTGAAAGCTCCACTAATATCAAATGTGCATGACAACAACCACATTGTGCAGATTGACACAGCCTACCATGAGTGGTCATTATGAAGGAAGGAAGGAAAGAAAATCACTTCCATCAAGAGGTGAGTAGCATGCTTCACCATCAGACCTCTGGAATCATGGCTGGTCATTAGAGTGATCATCATTCTTAAGTCTACTTCAGATAAAACATACTAGGTTTCACTCTAGCCACTAATTTTAAGTTTGTGTACACCTTCATGTTTTAAACATACTTCTTATACACAACCTATTGTTGGATTCTGCTTTCTAATCCCAATTCTGTTACCACCTTTTGTTTTATAGGAGAGTTGATCCTATTCACATTCAGAGTGATTCTCTTTTTCCTGCCCCATCTTTTTAAAGAGAATGAAGTGTACTCAGCACCAATGCTCAAGATTTAGTGTAATTTGCTTCTGCTCCCCTGTCCCACCTAGGGCCCAAACAAAAGTTATCCATTCCTTTTCTTTTAAATCTCTCTTCATAATCCACCCTCCTTAGTTGTGTGGTTTTTTTTAAGGCAATTAAGATTAAGTGACTTGCTCAGAGTCACACAGCTAAGTGAGTGTTATGTGTCTGAGGCCTGACTTGACCTCAGGTTCTCCTGACTCCAGGGCTGGTGCTCTATCCACTGCACCACCTAGCTGCCCCCTAGTTCATTTTGTCTAAGGACTAATACCTCCCTTTCCTCTTGTCCCCTCCTCTCCCCCCGGCCCCCGCCTCTTTTTCTTCTCCCCTTTGTCTCCCATTCCACGCAGTTTTGTACTGGACTGTCTATATATATTCTTGATCAATTCAATGAGAGGTTTAAGTGTCACCTGCGCCCTGCACCTCTTCCTTCTTTTTTGTATAGCCTTCTACTTGAACATTCAGATTATATGAGATGATTCTCCTCATATTTCCTCTTTCTTTTTCCTCCTAGTAGTGTATTCCTTTTCCCCTCTCTTTCCATTCTTCTTTTAAGATCACGCAAATCTATATTAATACCACTTCTAGGCCCTCCATCTTACTGGACTCTTTATGACCCCTCACAAAGGCAGTTAGGTGGTACAGTGGATAGAGCACCAGGCCTGGAGTCAGGAAAATGTCCTGAGTTCAAATCAGACCTTACATACTTATGTATGACCTTGGGCAAGTCATTTAACCCTGTTTGCCTCAGTTTCCTCATCTATAAAATGAGCTGGAGAAGGAAATAGCAAGCCACTCAAGTATCTTTGCCAAGAGAACCCCAACTTGGATCACAAAGACTTGGACACAACTGAAAATAACTGAACAACAACATGACATGTGAAGTGACATGTCTCCCCATATAAGAACGTAAACAGTCTATCTCTGTTCAGTCTCTCACAACTGCTCACTCATGTTTACCTCTTGTGTTTGTCTTTCAAAGTTTCTACCAAGCTCTGCTCTTTTCATCAAGAATGCTTGTCATTGTTGTTGTTCAGTTGTTTCACTCATGTTTGATTTTTCATGAGCCTTTGGCAAGGGTACTGGAGTGGTTTGCCATTTATTTTTCCAGTTCATTTTACAGATGAGGAAACTGAGGGAAACAGGTTAAATTACTTTCCCAGGGTCACACATCTAGTAAGTTTCTGAGGTCAGATTTGAACTCATGAAGATAAGTCTTCCTGACTCCAGGCCCAGTATTCTACCCACTGTGCCACCTAGCTGCCCCCCAAAAAACCCTGGAAGTCATCTATTTCATTAAAGGTACATTTTCCACATGTAGGATTATATTTCGTTTTTCTGGGTAAGTTATTCTTGGTTGTAAGCCTATATCCTTTGTCTTGTGGGATAGCATATTCCTAGTTCTCCATTCCTTTACAGTGGTAACTGCTAAATCATGTGTGAGCCTGATTGTGGCTCCTTGAATTTTTCTGGCTTGCAGTATGTTTTCTTTGACCTGGGAACTCTGGATTTTGGCTGACATTCATGGGAGTTTTCATTTAAGGAGATAATTTATGGATTCTTTCTCTTTTCACTTTTACCTTTGGTTCTAAGACATTTAAATAGTTTTGTTTTATGATTTCTTGAACATTATGTATAGGCTCCTTTTTTGGTCATGGCTTTCAGATAGTCCAATAATTCTTAAATTCTCTTTCTTTGGAGCAGCTAGGTGGTGAAGTAGATAGAACACTACCAGCTCTGGAGTCAGGAGGATCTGAGTGCAAATCCAGTCTCAGACACTTACTAGCTGTTTGACCCTGGGCAAGTCATTTAGCCCTAACTGCCTCAAAAAAAATTCTCTGAGAAAGCTTCTTTGAATTTTAGGGAAAAACTAGACTAGCCTACATGGTAGGGAACCCTAGTATATATTGGTCCTACCACACCATCATTTCTTCTTCAGTATCAAATTTATAAGAATACAGGTCATTCTCCAATTCATAAATGGTCAAAGGATATGAACAGGCAGTTTTCAGATGAAGAAATTAAAGGCACCTATAGTCATATGAAAAATGCTCTAAATCACTACTGATTAGATAAATTCAAATCAAAACAACTCTGAAGTACCACATCCCACCTATTAGATTGACCAACATGACAAAACAGGAAAATGATAAATGTTGGAGAACTGGAAATACTGGAATTGGTGGAGTTGTGAAATGATCCATCCATCTTGGAGAACAATTTGGAACTATGCCCAAAGGACTATAAAAATGTGCATACCCTTTGACCCAGCAATAGCACTTCTAGGGCTGTATCCCAAAGAGCTCATACAAATGGGAAAAGGACCCACATATACAAAAATATTTATAGCAGCTCTTTCTATGGTGGCAAGAATTAGAAACTGAGGGGATGCCAATCAATTGGGGAATGGCTGAACAAGCTGTGGTATATGAATGTAATGGAATACTATTGTGCTATAAGAAATGATGAGCAATCAGACTTCAGAAAAACCTGGAAAGACTTATATGGACTGATGTTGAGTGAAACGAGCAGAACCAGGAGAACGGTGTACACAGTAACAGCCACGTTGTGCTATCACTAACTCTGATAAACTTAGCCCTTCTCAGCAATGCAAGGATCTAAGACATCTCCAAAAGTCTCATGATAGAAAATGCTATCCACATCTAGAGAAAGAACTAGGGAGTTTGAATGCAGATCGAAG